TGGCCGAGAGTAGTGGAAAAATAAACCTGAACGGACAAACGCGTTCTAGAATTTGATCGATCCCGAAGGTGGGCGGATTGACAAAGAGCGGCATGGACAAAATACGCCAAAGGTATATAATCTGCGTGTAACGAACGGCTAAGGTAAAATTAGATTCTATTCTACCCTTCGTTATCCGTGTACTACGTTATGAATTCTTGTATGAATTCAAATTAGCGCTGTTCAATTATGACTAACAAATTGTGACTAACACTTGCTTCTGTTCCTCTTTGGTTTCAATGTGTGAAATACGTTTCTTTTCGCAGTGTGATCTAATTTGATAAAAATGTATAAAACGGCTCGTGCGAGTATGCGAACACTTGTTCGAGATCTTCTGCGAGGTATACGTTACATGTGAAATTTAGAATTCCGGCAGCATGGTAATGAAACAGTCTGTAGAAGTTGCGAGATATGCTTAATGCAAGTATACGTTGCTCCTTTTTACTCCTCTGATTCATTGTGTTTCTTTAAAGTAAAAGAATATGTGACGTATTTCATTTCTGTGTATACGTATAGATATATAGATTTCATATATCTGTAATTCAGCAGGTTATATAATTTATAACTTTCCCGATTTATTGTTCCGATACGTCTTATCAATTTTGACGACGTTCAAATACGAAAAGAAGAAATAATAAATGATCTTGATTTTGAATAACATTTTATACGGTATAATGTAACCATTTGTTACTATATTGTATAAAATATTTCGACATTTCATTAATACTATGATAAAATCTATTGGGATTTACGTTGGCCAAGTTTTAAACAAATTTAAAAATGTATATAGAAATTATCGTTTTAAAAATGTCGATTAAATAGTCAATTATTCATTGCATCGTATTTAATCTTTAATATATATGTAGTGCCATTCATTGTATGCTCAAATGGCCAATCATACTGTATCCTATTAAGTTTCTAGCATCATAGCATGAGAAAAATTGCAAGTTTCGAATCACGTGCGTACTTTGTACATAGAATGAAAGTAAACGGAAATTATAAATCATAATTTAACACGTTCGATGCTGTTTGGACTATAAAGAGCTAATACATTGACACACATTTCATTTTCACAGACTGCTTTTGGACGGTATTACTTTTCAAATGTATATTTTTGAAAAATCTCAGACAAAAATTAAATTCCTTTTTAAATACGGGAATATGTGATAGGCTTGTTTTTTTTTTACTATTTCAGCAAAAGCACACACAATGGCGACATTATTTGCGTCAGTGTGTTGGGATGAAAAATTCGCGAAGATTGAAGAATTACGTACGTATCTGATAACTGTTGTTTCCAACGTAACATTTCAAGGTAACGAAATTACACTGAGCCTTGATAATCTTATACCATATAATTGCATTATCCGTCAACGTTTCCGTTTGATTACCCTTCTGCATAAAGCATATTTTACAAACGATTCAGAGCCAAGTAAAGTTATTAGAGATTCCTATTTTATTACCATAATTAATATTGTATTAATATTATGTAATTATGGTACGCAGGATACACATACGTCAAAATGTACGATAAAGATGTATCAACGTACTCAAGTTCTATTTTGCATTCGTTAACAAGAATATGACACATTTAATTTCTGAAGCAAAGAGCGTTGGTCATATTAAAAAAAATTTGGAAGCATTTCAACAACGAAAACGAACTGCCTGCGGCTAGATAATGCTAATTTATTAGTTTCTTTCGGACGATTGTTTGTTAAAATCTGAAAGTGTTTCTTTTGTTAGCTAAAATGTGGAATATTGTGTAATAATTATTTCGAGAATTATTCATGCACGTGGATGTATTTACATATTTGAATATCTCCTTATAATACAACTTGAATATGTTAATATGTTTGTGACACTGTGTACTGTAAATTTTGACGTACGTGAATTCACGTATTCGCGTTTCAAAAATTATACGAAACACTATATTTATATTAACATTAACATAAAGTTAAATATTAATATTGCATTCGTTAAATAACATTAACATATCCATACGTGTATCTTTAACACAAAATCACGTTGATTTCGACTTTAACAAAACTCTTGAAAATGCATTGTTTAACGTTTTCCATGGATCAGCAGAGTTTTATGAAAAATATCCAACATCGAGCAGAGAAAAGAAAATTCCTCGTTATTTGCAAGGTGGAAGACGTATTTATTACGCATTATCGTCAAAAAAAAAAAAAAAACAGAGTCGGGTTAAAGTAAGAAAAATTTGCACACGAAATGCGATTAAGAACGTAATTTAGAAAATGTTAAACGTCAATCCGAAATATATGCGATGCGATTATAAATCAATGCCATTCCGTTAGCATAAATGAATGATACGAAGAATAATGCATCGATCGCGCTACTAGAAAATTCTCTAGAAAGAATGTTTCTCCTCTATTAAACAGTTACGAATCGTTGAATTAATAAATGAATAACATAAAAGTTATTGCGTCGCACACGCAACAATGACATATTGCAAAATTTGCAAAGCACAGAAACTACTAATAGGCAGGAGCTACACGTAATAGGAGTGAAATATGTTGTAATAAATGTGGAATTGATAATAAAAATACACTGACCGCGTATAACGAGAAATAGAAAATTAAAAGATTCACGGAAAGAAATTAACCTTTCATTTCATTTCAAAGCGCGACAAATCGAAGAAAGAAATTTCCTTTTAAGATTCTCTTTCTGCCTTCACTTATATCGTCGATACGCGTCGACACAACGTGATAAAACGCAAACTAAACTTAGACACTTCGATATCGGCAATATAAAGAAAAAGGAAGATCTTTGACGATGCACCGATTGATAGGTGCGATCCGGATATTCACTAACAATGAGGCATCGCGCAACACGCGCCGTCGCGTAATTTTTCTGCACGAATCGCCACATTGTGCGCCCTAGATAGCATTTGCGACACGAGCTTAAGAATAGGCTCTCGTCGCAGCCTTCAAAAGCGACAAGGTTGGATCGTGTAATGCGAAACGGCAATCCCCAGCGATATACAACGCGAGAAACGCTAAATGTTAAGTTGCCTGATCGAAAATTTCCACGTGTCGAATCATCGTAATTACTCGACCCAATTTTCTTTCGTGTGGCGATGAGCGCGACACACGGCTCAGGCAAAAAAAAAAAAGAGAGACGAAAGAAAAGGAAAATAAATGAACTCCGATCGCGAACGCAACCGAGCAAAATGCATTCTTCAGAGCTGAACGCGCGTCGCGAATTGTGCAAATTGCATAAGACGCTATGAAGTAATCGGGTACGAACAAAATGTCAACATCGGTGTTACGCGGATGAAAAATCTTTTTCTTTTTTTATTGTGATATACTCGCGTGGAAACGTCGTTGAATGTAATGGAAAGTCTCGATGTTGCCCACGAAAGTGTTTGAACATTTATGGAGCATTTTATGAATAAATTATCTGGATTGCGTTCAAACATTTTGAAACTTCATTAGCGCTGTAACGAGAACCGATTTACGTCGGTCGACTTTGAAACGAATCTGCAAAATGTATGTAGAGATATTTAATAAAGACATTTAATGCAAGTATCTCGCACACGTTGTCAGAAAAGTATTTCAACAGCCAATTATCTATTGTATTAATATATATTTAGTGGTATCATGTTTAACATGCACGCTGTATACTAATTACATTTGCAATAAATATGTTTTGACTTCTATGTACATTTCCAGATTGGTTTCAAATTACAGTAACACGTGGTAATGAAATTTCAAAATATTTTACATTTTGCATGGACAAACAATAGTGTAAATATACACAATAAACTGATACATGAACGTGGTAAACTTTATGCGAATTGATGTCTATTTTGAAAATGATTCATTTGTAATTCTATTAAATAAATGTTCGAATATTTTCTACAGTAATTCACAGTTTTTCACTTTTTACAGTAATGCACAGCATCTGTTATAACATCTATCGAGTAAAATTCTATTTTCTATTTAAATTTCATTCTTTTTTAAAATAGTATTTAGAAAAATATGAATTTGCGTAAATATCCGCAATGTAACGTAACGTAACGTAATAGTGAAAATACTTCAGTTTCGTAGAATTCTAGAATCCAGGCGAGGACACAGCACATAAGAAATATTAAATCCTTGAAATGACCGATCCTTAAAATTTTCCTTTCCCACCCTCGAACACACGTTGGAACACAAACCGCGATCAAAACAAACTGCTTGAAAAGAATTGTGAAACAATGTTGCGCTAACGCAACGTTGAACTTTGATAGGTTAACTAGCGGATTTTTACCACGGCACGGTTGTTGCGTAGAATAACACACTATTCGAACAAGTGATACTCGGCGAGAAACAATGAAACCTATCGTTAACCTAATTTACGAACATCAAGACGTTCTGTTAAACACGTATACTCACTAATAACTTCTCGAAGAGCAGTTGAATATCGACGACTGGCGATGCACGAAAACGGGTTCGATGCAAAGCGACGTGAAAGCTCGAAGGGAAACAGCCCGCGAGGAATGCCGCTGCCGCTTTGAATCAGTGGCGTGCTTGAATAAAAATGGTCAGCAAGCACCTCTTATTTAAATTTCTTTATGAAATCTCTTTATATCGCGACGTCAACGACCTCCTTAATAAATGCCGATGGGGGGGAAGTTTACGCAGCTGTTGCAATTGTCAGAAACGGTATGGTAATGGAAAGAGCGTCAGAAGTAGGTGTATAAAGTCCTGGCTTCAACGAGATGGAAAGAAAGTCATTTTCAACAACAGAAATAAATCGGCGTATTTCACGAGGCGATAAACTGTCGCCGCTGTTTGTATACGCGGATGCGTAACCTTTGAAAAAAACAACGTTGAAAGAAAAAAACGTACGATCGCCACGTGATATCGTCGAGTTAAAATGAGACAAGAAACCCGGCGAAACACAGAGAAATCAATAAATGTATCGAACGGATACAGGAAGGAAGGCTAATGATCCGGCTGGTCAAGCAGCGTGTTGTCAAAGATGAAGGAGAAAAAAAAGAAAAAGTTAAACGAGGCAAAGGTTGCCTCGAGTTGCTGGCTGTCCTCTTGGAGAGACGGGCGAGCGATGGTTCTGCGTGGTGGCGACATCTACGTGGAGGAGCGGTACAAGATTGGCTGGCAGTTCGCAGGCGCATTTCCCGGTGCATTCTCTCGTTCCAGCCTCGCTCCGAGAGCGGGGAGCGTCGTCGCGTCGTCATTCTTTCCCCGTGATCCATCGACGATAGACACCGTTCTTTTTTCTCTCTATACAACCTCCCTCTCGTTCTCCTTCCTCGTTGTTATTAGCGAGCGGGTAACACATTCGCGCGTAAAACGCATTCGCTTTATCGCGAGAGCGGGCATTCCATCGAATTCTTTCGTACGACGCAACGGCAACAGGCATCGTTCGTTTCCTCTTTGTCTCTCCCTTCTCCCTCTGTCTTCGTCTGGTCCCCTCTTTCACTACGTTTCCGCTGTCCGCAAGGTTACGTTGCTGGTTCTCTCGTCTCTTCTCTTCTCTTTCCTCCTCCCCACTCTTCCCCAGGCTTCTTCAGCTCCCGGCTTCCACTGATAATATACCCCTTCCGTCCGCCGATAAACGTACGTACCCACTGTCACGGTCGAAGAAAGAAGAGGTCGGGGTCCGGTGTACACCAGCCATTTCACAGGCGTCGTCCGTGAAATTTCTCTCCCGCATCCGACAGTCCTCTGCAGCCGGACTTTGCGGTTTCACGATTCGGCTTGGAGCGCGTCGATCATGTCGCTGATCGCCAACTGTTTCCGACGGCTCACCGAGACAACACCGGCCAAGAACGAGGTAAACAAAGACTCGGTGCCGATCCGCGCGACCCGGGCGAAGCATGCACGAGCTTCGTGCGCCGGTCGCGCGTGCTGCTCCGTGCCTCTCTGTTTCTCTTTTGCTTTTGTTCCTCTGCCTCTAACTAAGCTTGTTCAACGTTTCGTTGTCGGAACGTGCTCCTTTTTCTTTTTTGTTTTATCTTCCTTTTTTTAACAATTTTTTCGCGATACCGCACGCAGTTAATACTATCTATTAATTGGAGCATGTACAAACGAAGCCGGTTTTTGTGGTGCAAAGAGCATCGATGTTCTCAATTGTTTAACGTTATTTTTTTTTTTTTTTTTTTTTTTTTTTTTTGTAACAGAGGAAGATCATCCACGTGTATTTTATTTTTATCAAACGTGCCAAGTATATTTGCGATATTAATCGATCGTGTCACGCAATTATCGAAATACATATATCTCTACGCGATCGCGTAACTAATCTTCATTGACGGATTAACATCGTTGAATTATTGATTGTATTAATCTACGTGACTGTTGAGGAAATTGCGAATGAACAGCCGCACATACGCGTAAAAATTGTAAAAATTGTAATTTCAAAACAATTACTTGTTGCCTCGTTATCGTTCGCAAGAAATAGATCAAGCGATCTGTTTACATTATCAAATTTTCCACCAGAGTAAACAATTACGATCGGTCAACGATCTTCCTCTCTCGCAAGTAAACGAAACTCCGATCCTTGAAAAAAAAAAAAAAAAAAATGGTTCGGTCGAAAGTCGGCGCTGCTGTTGCGAAAATTCGGAAAATTTCAAAAATGGAACGAACAGCCGCAAACTTCGTATATCTTCCCCCCCCCCCCCTCTTTCGAGTGTAAGGTAATTTCAATCGCGGAGGATTAAGTTATGCGTGACCGGTGACGAGAGGCGTCCACCCGGCAGGACTTCCGGCTGATCGAACGCCGCCGTGACTTTCGATTCTGTGTTTGCGTTGCCGAGTGACCGCGATTGAACGTCGCCCAATGTGGGTCACTGGAAGAAACTGTGACACGCGGTCTTCCGCAGCTGCGACCTTGAACGCGATCGGCCTAATTGCCCGCCCCGGCGATCGCGATCCTCGATCCACGTCCGTTATCCCCGATTAAGGGATTCAGCTCCGGTTAATTTGCATATTTCCTCGTGCGATTCGCGCCAGAAGTCGCCGGTTTAACGACTCTGCTCCGATTCTGCAATCTCTCGGTTAACTAACCTCAATGACGTTTCACGGAGAATCGGGAATCTATACTTGTTGAAAAAACAGCGCCGCTTGGCGAATTCAAATTTGAAATTTAAAGGAAGAAGTTGCTGGAGAAATGCAAATTGAGATACATCGGAGCCGAATGAATGTTCGATATTTCGAGCGAATTAAACTAGTCGGAATTTAAATACTCGGCGGTTAACGGATTTATATATATATATATATATTACACGTATATGTATATTATTTCTGTGCTTTTATGGATTTCTGTGCTTTTAACTTCAGCACGAGTTAGCAGAGAAGAAAGGCTTTTTTTATCACGTTCTACCGATTGTTTTCCAGCTGAAAGGCTACAAGGTCACCGATGTAAATCGCATGCGAAAAATTGGCGTCGCCTGCAGGAGCCTCCACGAGCTGAAGCAGAAAGCGTGCGCGAAGCTGAACGTGAGTATCCCGATGTGATTAACGCTCACAGCGTTTATTTAATCGACCGATAGTCCGATTCATGCTACGTGAGAGAGAGAGAGAGAGAGAGAGAGAGAGAGAGAGAGAGAGAGAGAGAGAGAGAGAGAGATGTGGAGCAAGGGAGACATTACCAAACGGTTCGCTCGCGTTGCATGGAAACCGTACCGTGGTTCCACGCCGCTTTTACATGTCATGATAAAAGTTGTCGGCTGAAATTGGGTCATAAAAGCCTCGCAGCTGATCCGTAGTACGCTCCTGGAAAATTGTGACGCCTCGCGAGTTCGGTATTTCGTTACAAGTGCACGTAAAACCAACCTCGTTCTCTCCTTGTAAAATTTACCAAGAAGAAAGAAAGAAAAAAAAAAGAAAAGAGCAGCTCGCTTCCTGCATAAAGTTATTCGTTCGTTCGATTCGCGTGGATTATTCAAACTCGTTATTTAGCCTCGAGGCCAAGTAAGAAATAAGTAGAAACTTATAAATTACGCAAAATTCGGCGAGTGTCGCGGGAAAAAGTCGTACGAAAAATGAAAAACTGCTCGCCTGTTTCATTGTTCAACGTTCGAGACAATGTGAATTTCGGAGCCGGTGGTCTGAATATTTTAACATACGCAAGGTCTTTAGTGTCGCGTGTAACGGCTCTGGCCAGAGTTCCTCCACGTGTCCGGACGAAAAAGAAAAGAAAAAAAAAAACAAAAAAAATGAATTCGAACGGCCGGATTACGAGAGGCGGGCAGGCACGTGCGGATAATTAATCGCGAGAGGCACGGAGGTTGAGAGGATCGGAGGATCTACGTGGGGCCGCGGCGCTTGCCAACGCGCTTTCGAGGATAGGTTAATCTGGTTGGTGGATCGACCTTGGTGCCGAATCGCGTTCGCCTGCAGCGTGTAGCTCTATCGAACCGGCCCGGCCACGGGCAAGGAGCAGCCCCAATGTCAAGGTCGGCCGTCTGCTGGACCGATAGCCTAGAACCAAAGTGGCCAAGATTTTTTCCCCATGTTTTTCGGCCGCTCCCACGAACGCGGCTGCTCGACGTTTGCCAGCTTCCGGCCACCACGCTGGACTCCTCCTCCGCTGTAACTGGTGCAGAACTGCAATTCCGAAAGAATTGATTGCGACGATGTGCGCCACCGTGAAACAACGAACGACGCCTGCCCCGTTCATGGTGCGCCGCACGTGCCGCCGATTTGCTCGTTGTAACTGGGTCAACTTTGTGCCTCTTCTCTTGCATGAAGGAAAAAGAAGGAAAAACGACGAAAAAAAAAAAAAAAAAAAGAAAGAAAGAATCAACAGGAGCACACAGCGTTACGTTACGCGGTTCGGTTAAAGGTTAACTGTCCGTGACTTTGTTCCCTCGGCATCGAGGTGGATTCAGTGTGCGCTCGCTCGATTTCATCGACTTTCACAGGCTTTGCCCGGTTACGTACGTCGAAGGACGTAACGGTTTCGATTATGCTCGCTCGCGATCGGAAACGCGAGATTTGTGTGTTGAACGAGGTTGAATGAGGATGTTTGAAATCCGTATTGATGGCTGGTTATTCATTTTACTTTCGATCGTTGCGTCATTCGTCATTCCCCTTCGTTCGATTTACGTTACTGGAATTTGCCTCGTCGATTGTTATGGCCGTGACAGGGAGTTCCGATTGAAGAATTTTTACTGGATAAGATTCAATGCTATGCTTTTGAAACCTAGGTTCTACGATTCTATGAAATTTAAAGACACATTGATGTATTTACAGTATTAAGGATGAATTGCTTGGCTCTTAATGAAGCTGAAAGTCATTTTGATATAACAGCTGGAAATTCCAATTAAGAATTAATTTTCCTATTTGAGAAACGCTTTGTGATCTAACAAACGACTATATTCACTCTCCTTTCCATCCATTTGTCTAAAGCGATGAATTTGGATCGAAGGAAGGTGTCTCGGTGTCGTAACATCTGGCAATTAATACCGCTTCATGGTGAAATACAAATGAAATGGGTGTACCTTTGCAACCGATCAAGAGTTTGAATTATATTCTACTCCATTTCACACTTAATTTGATATTTCGCAATATGCCAATTATTCCTGAATATTTTTTAACTATACAATACAATAACTATCGACGAGTTCGTCTCCTACGTACAATGTGCTAAAATATTCACTATTCGTATTAATAAAATCTATCAATACAAACTTAACGAGATAGAAAGTAAATTGGTATCGATAAGTAAATCTTCTAAATTTCTAGATAACAAACGACCCTGGCGAAATCAACATCTACTTGCTCGATGGTTCGTTGATCGACGAGGAAGAGTATTTTTCCACGTTGAAGCCTCAGACGACGCTGATCCTTCAGAAACCTGGCGAGAAAGTGTTAACCGGTTAGTGTTGTCAATTTTCTTCTTATAATCGAATGTGAGCTGTATAGATTAAAATTAATTAAAATTGACATTCGTAGGAAATGTCATCGTATGCCCACCAATGACTAAACATTTTCATACGACAAAAGAACTTTGCATAACGTAAGAATAACTGGATAATATTTACTGGCAAATATTAGGTCCTCGGTCAAATCCATTTGCGTTTTGCTTATTTAATAAGACTTGTTTAATTTTATAATATATAATAAGACTTAATTTTAAATAAGACTGTTTAATAAGACTTGTTTAATTTTAGATTTTAAATCTAAAATAGGCTCATTTATTAATTCCTATAAAAAAAAGAAAAGAAAATTGTGTTTTTCATTCCGGCAAATATTTTTTCAGTCAAACGCAAGCATTCGAAAATATTCGAAAACATTGGAAACCTTGGAGATACCACGCATTTGCTTGCAACTATGCAAGAAAATAAAATCAATGATTTCAATTCATTTATTGTGATTGTTGCAACTCACGTAAAATTTCAATGCATTTGAAATACTTTAATGCAGAACTTTTTCCCCAGAGATAATTAAGAATAATCGTCGTTTCGTAGGTAAAGCAGTCAACGTGTCAACTGGTTCGTTCATTGTTTGACGATAGAACAGGCCAAGCTGAATAGAGAGCCTGGAAACACGTGTCGTTTCGAACGCAGCCTCACGAGATCCGTTCTTTGCTTGCAGACGCGGACCTTCTGTATGATACCTTGAGGCGTGTTAACATCGATTTTCTGATTGCCGGCGAGAAAGCGTCCGAGTTCCTCACGGAACACCTTAGAGCGAAGGTCGCTGTTCTAAATAACGCTTTGAACAAAGATGACTCGAAAACAACGTTCAGCAGCAGGGACGAACATCCGGAGTGGTTTCACGGATTGGACACTAACTGCGCGACCAAAGTAAGTTCTTCCGCCTCTGGAAAAAATATTTTCACGCTCTGCTCACTCTCAAAGGATTTTCCTTTTTCGTCTCTTTCCCTTTCGTCGCGTATTTATCTTATCGCCACGGTTATAAATATTCACAAAGAAAAATCAGGTTTACCTTGTGAGTGGTGACGAGTTTAAGATTTGATCCACGGCCAGACTGTTTCTTCGAGCCACGAATTCTGCGAGACCTATTGAAACCTACAGGATAAAATGCGAAGTATCAATTAACAGACTGAAAATACTTTTGAAGACACCAAAGACTGCACTTGTCTACTTGTTAACTCTTCAAATTTACTATTAATTCAATTCGATCTAATTTAATTCAACTTACTAATTTATATCGCCGTTAATTTACTAACTGTCATTCACCAGTCCCGAGGTATTTGTGAATTTAAAATTTCCTGAAATTTACGTGTTAGTGTAGTTGGATGTGAGAATAAAGGGATGAAAAAATCGATACACGGCCATCCTACGCATTTCCTCGGTGAAACTTTTCCCCATAGATACCGTTCGGGTCGTGATCAACGATAAGTCACCCTTCGAACGTATAAGTCGGTCTAGGTCGGCGCTTAATGTAATAGAACGAGAGAGGGAGTTTATCCTTTGACGTTCGATATCGTTCGAGTTAATTAACGTCACGGCGCTTTCATTCTGGCGGATTGCTATTTATCGCGCGATTTCTTTACGAAATCCTACTGCCGTCGATTCAACGGCCGCGCTAAATAATTAATCAGCCTCAAACGTTCTCATTCGTTCGTCGTCGAACAGACTTCTGCTGCCACGCTTGTCTCGATCGCGTAATTCATTCGTCACGGGATAATACCACGGATTACGTGGAAAAATAATAAATTTGTATTTTGGCTGCGAAGCTCGACGTCGATATCACGAGAATTCCTGTAGCTCGCAAATCCCGCACCTAATCTTCGCCCGTGTCGATATATATCTATCCTGCCAGGATCGAATCTACAGCGCAGATTTCCCAGATAGCTTTACCGATGAAACACGCCTCTTTTCCTCCGTGATTTTTGTCCTTTCATCACACCTCGTTTCTTTTGATCACGAGCGACTGGTATTTTCTATTATACCGTTGCACGGGCGCGCGAATAGATTATCATCGTAAAAAGCCGCCTTTGCTGATCGTTGGACAACAGGGACAATTTACGAGAATTTGTAAGTGTTTCTTTTTCGAATGTAGTTTAAAAATATAGAACTCAGGTAAAAGATTGTCGCGACGAAACGTTCTAATTGGATTAAATATTATATAACTAGATTTGTGGATCTGCGAGGAACTTGACGATATAAAAATGCATAGGATGCATGAAACATGCAAATACGTATAAAATGCAAAGGTGAGGTACCTTTATATTCGTTGTAACCGCGTCGAGAATTTTTATGTATATATATATATATATATTTTTTTTTTTGTTACTTTCATGAATATTATAGAAATTTGTTTCGTCTACTGAATATTGTAATAAATACTCTGCATTTGGACGCTTTATTTATTTCTGCACATTGCGTGCATATCGTGCGACTCTGCAAACTTCCACGAAAATCCACGGTCCAGTTACTAATAACTTGGCAAGTGAAACAAACTTCCACCAACATTTCTTTCTCGCGTTCACGACAGTGCGAATTTGCATAAAAATCCACAACCTAATCGCAAACAGTACCACGTCTTCCACGAACGCCTCATGAATCACTTGCATTCCGTTGCGTTCTTCGAAATTCCGCACGGATGCACGAAAAAATCCACAATCTGTCGATTGTTCGCCGAATAACAATTGTGTTTGGCCAACGCGATACGAAGATGGTAACTCGCGGATCTGGATCGGTCGAAATTAGCTCGGACGTATGATCTATTGTTCGTTATGATAAACAATAACGAACGATTCTATTGCCGACTTACCGAAAACAATGGCACAGGCTCCGTTTTGATTATAGAACACATTAACGTTCACAATACGGCAATGTCGGCGCATACTGACCCATTTCGATTTGCCACAGCGAGATTGTTGCCATTTACGGCGCGCACGAGGGTAAATACCCCCTCGATACGGGATACAAGCTGCTCCAGCCTGTTGGAACGCGCGTCATGTTATTTGATTAATCATTTCGCTACCACGAAACGAAATACATATCTCGTGTGGAGTAACAGTACTTGTGTGTGTGTGTGTGTGTATATATATATATATATATATATATATTTTTACAGACACATACGTATTTTGCTCTTTAGTGTTTACAATTGAATGCTTCGAGATATTTCGTTCCACGGTCGGTTTCAAGCTTTTAGTTTCGTTAGATTATTCGCAGAGATTGGAAAACCAACTTGTTAATCCCCTTTGCTCAGTGTGATCGGTTGAAAACGATCATGCGTCATGGATTCGAATGACGCAATTTGCATAACAATTTACGTTGTTTATATTATTTATTATATCGTTTACAATAGATGCATTACATTTCTAACGCACGTGTTCTAACATCTTTTTTACAGAATGCAAATTGTTAAAATAATATTCACGAATAATATTATAAGTAATAATATTAATAATAAATAAATAATAAATAATAATATAAGTAATAATATTAATAATAAATAAATAATAAATAATAATATAAGTAATGATATTAATAATAAATAATAATATAAGTAATAATATTAATAATAAATAATAATATAAGTAATAATATTAATAATAAATAATAATATAAGTAATAACATTAATAATAAATAAATAATAAATAATAAGTAATAATATTAATAATAAATAATAATATAAGTAATAACATTAATAATAAATAAATAATAAATACTAAGTAATAATATTAATAATAAATAAATAGTAAATAATAAGTAATAATATTAATAATAAATAAATAGCAAATAATAAGTAATAATATTAATAATAAATAAATAATATTATTAAAATAAGTATCAAGAACGATAATCGACATCCAATCGGGAACGTATGTAAACTCGACGTAAACGAGATTAATCATGTTTACAGGAAGCTTACTTGCATCGTCGATGCCAAGACAGAATACGGGGCTACTTGTACAAAACGATCGAGCAGATCAGATCGTCGGACGTGTTCACGAAGGATCCACGAGCCAGAAAGCAACTGTTGTACGCGATAGCCTTCTTCAAGATGCAGCTGAAAGAGGATCACTACTTTGGCTATTATTTCGATAGGAGCCGGGCAAAGATCGAGGCGTTGGAGGGTGCTGATCAGCTCGATTCGTCGGCCTGTTACGATCATTGTCCCTGTAGGTTGAAATGGCTCGACGATGGCACGTACTTCAGATTGTTCGGCACGGCGGAGCAAACCGACGACGTCGACGGCGTGAAGAAGAGGAACGAGAGGAACTCGGCGGCGGACACAAAGACTGAGGAGGAGGCGGAGGCAGAGGAGAACTGCCCTTACAAGATTAGAAGGATAGAGAAGAAAATGTGTATCGCGTTGTGCGATCAGACGGGCGAGTTCAGATGTCACGGAGTGTGGAACGAGGAGAAATGTCCTTACGGGACGCACAAGATCAATCCGTACAGGTCGAAGGAAGAGCTCGTTTTATTCTCCACGTGGAACTTTGATCACAAGTAAGTCGTATTTCCAGTTTGCAAGCTCCCGAAGCGTCCTGTCAATTTTAGATGAAACCGTATTCTTTATCGATGTGAATATTCGAGCGACTTGGACCAGTGTCGACATCGTTATTTAAAAATTTACGAAACTTTCAGTATATTTGCTGTTCTTATCTTTAGACTGTAAAATGTATTTCTGTCTATCAATTGAGCATGAATTTCAACTGATGAATTAAAATTGAAAGACTAAAGACATAGAAAGATTAAGACAAGATAGTGTCGTTTCTTTGTTGAATATAAAATTGATGGATGACTTGGTAGTGTATGTACATATTGTACTATAATGTTTGCTATAGAGAATCAGCCGAAAACCATGATTTAGTTAATTGAATTTGTTTCATTATCATAAACACATGGATTTCATCGTGGTATTCGAACGACTTGAGTTAAATGAGTGGGCTATTTGTGAGAATCGCTGTGTATGATTTTCAGGATCGAAAGGTCCAGGACCCTGATTCCATTACTGCTGAAACTAGCGTCCAAAGGAGCCGCCAACGAGGCAGATCTCATCGAAATTTACGACAATCTGTTCACGATAAAGAACTTGAGACTGGTTCACATCGTATGCCATGATAAGAGCTCGCACAAATAATTAATTCATTATCACCTGAAAGGGTTAACAAAGATTTCAACGATGCGGGACGAAATGGAAAAGAAAAGGGGAAAAAGAAATATTAAGATACGTAACACGTAGAAGTAACCTTTGAATATAAATGTAATAACTCCTCGTATGAAAAGCGTATATAATTGTAAATTGCTGTTGATAGATGATTTGAAACTTCAAAGTTTATCATTTGTTGTACACGATTCCGATTCCGTTGCGCCACATAGCAACAAAGCAATACCGATCGCGAGATCGAGCAACCTTCTTCTTTTTATGATAGATTAAGTCAAATTTTCCTACACTGCAATTTTCCATCATCTACCTATGAAACACTATGCACGTTCGATAAAGATATATATATATATATCTGAAAGCGACTGAAAATGAGAATTTATGATGGAGATCTTGCGCACAGTTTCTGTCTCGATCGATAAACCAGTGTGATCGTTGATAATTCGAATATAACTATACTCCCCGGAGAGTAAGATCAAAGTGATTAAATCGCGAATTTTTAATCTGTAAAAACGTCGAGAACGCATATAGTATGCAAAAAATATACAAAATACGATAGATTATTGGTGTTGAAAAAGTACGAAATTTGTATCACTTTGAACTTTCAACGCGTCGTCATTCTATAAATTGTAAACTTTCGTAAATTATAATTTCTGGCGAATGTGATGGGAAAGTTAGAAAAAAAATGTAAATGAACGTTACTCTAAAAAAAAACCGAATTGAAACTTTCTGATTTTAAATGATTATAATTTTGAAATCAATGCATGAAATGTAAAAATTCAAACGCTATTTTATAAATGGAACTCGATACTTATAGCGTGTAAAATTGTTGATTGATAACAGTGAAATATGTAATATTAAAGATAAGAAAATATTAAGAGATAAGATATCAAGAAATTACACGAAACATGTTTCTTTTATTATATTATATTATACTTAGAAAGCAAAACGAAATGTATTGAATGTAAAGAATTGTTATTATATTTCATCCGTACATATCTTCTTGAGATGATAAGCTTTCCAATAAAATCAATGTTAACGATGTCAAGTATGCGAGTCACTCGCCATCATGTGCGTCAAGTGTTTATAGACGAGTTTATTGTTAACATTCATTTTACTGCACGGTTCTCTCAAAGAGAAATGTGGTATACATATATGGACGAAATATGTTCAATACATTTTACTTTATTTCAAGATTAAATTATAATATAATAACAAACGTATTTCGCTGAAGATCTGCATCATAATAATCTTATCTTAATACATCGCATTTTACTGTCATCACTTAACAATTTTAGCAGTATGTTTCTACACGTTATAAATTCCATTTGTAAAAGAGCATTTGAATGTTTATATGCAATTCGTTTACTCGTTTCGAAATTACGATCATTTGCAGTCAGAAAGTTTCCAGTCAGCTTTTTCGCTTCATTTACATTCTCTCTACTTTTCACATCGCATTTATCATAAATAATCGTGACTCGCAGAATGATGCCGCGTTAAAATCTGTCCAAAGAGCTATGAATTTCACACTTCTTTGATACTCTCCATTCTGTTTTTGATGACATTTCTTTTGCCACGTTCGTAAAAAATTCAAAGACGTGTAAAAATTCGCGGTCCAGAAACTGAAATCAGCGCACCGTTCACTGCGACAACTTTTTTATCACATTTTTAAGACGTCTTTACGCAATCCTAACGACTACTGTAAACTTTCTATCGACATTTTTGCAGAACAAGTGCCACGGAACGACGTCTCCCCTACTCCAGCACTGAATCTGAGTTCCCAATCATCTCGGGAACGTCTCAATATGTCATACAGGGTTGGGCGCAACGGAATAATCGTTGATTAAAAAGATTTATCAAAGATGGATCGAAGTGATTCGTCGAAAGGACTGTTAATTATCTTGTTGAAAGTGCGACAAAAGGGACTGTTTGAAGAAGACTTTAGGATGGCTTTAGAATTTATCTTAAAAAAGAAAAAAAGAGAAAAAGAAAAGGGATACACTCCACAAGATCGAGTATATTTCGGATATTTTTGATTCGACTGGTTCACCAAAGACAAAAACAAAGTTCTGATACATATATATATGTATACATACATATATTATATAAATATTTAAATATATATATATATATATTCGTTATTGAATCTAGAGAATACATACACGTGTATATCTATTTATTATGGATGCGTGCGCAGAATGATGGAATCGCGTCTCATTGGAATTGAATATTTAAATTCTAAATAACATTGAAACGTTGAATAATTAGTGAAAATGTGGAAAAATAAATTCGCGTAGTATATATGCTAGGTTTATTTCTGTCTAGCGTTACGTGTTACTATGACTTATGAAAGATTCATTTGAAAAACAAGAAAACGCTGGACGTAACCAGTTCAATTCTCCTTGGAATCTATTAAAAGAAACGTAGATGTATTTGTGAAAGAATAGAGAAGGAATGTCTGTGCTGAATCGTTAAAAAAAGAAATCTTTTAATTTATCTTTGAAAGAAGAATCCACAACAATAAGCACGTGCATAAAAACGATTCCGTTTCATTCAATTTGATTGTTGTCAGGCTATATTCTACTTATCCTGCGCTCGTAACATATAAATAAGTATACATATTGTACTATATTTAGGTATACACCGATATACATATTATATTATATTTAGGTATATACACAAGGGAAATTACAAAATGTTCTGGAGACTCGCTATATATCTAATGCGGCATATTCTTCCGATATGGTGATGTCTAACGGAAGGACCTGACTCGAATTATGTCTTTTTGATAATTCTTCTTTTTTAATCTGATTTCGATCGGTCTCTGTTCGTTTTGTCGCGACTCGTCTCGCGAGACTGACGAACCAACACACTTTTTATAAAATCTGAATTGCTATCGACGACGACGACGTACAATTCTACAAAACTAACAAGAGAGTAGTGACAGTTGGCAACTTCAGTAAATTTATTCGCGCATCGAGATGTATATTAAATAGCGCGCCTCTTTTTGCTTCGAACATTGGCAATTATTTGATACAACCTTCTGGCCACATTCACGCAACATGTACTCTATGGTAAACAGACGACGGATGTTTATGCATTTAAATGATAATGTGCAGGAATTCAAAGAAAACAGATTCAAAGAAAAAATACTCGTCAGAATACCCAATATGCATTTGCATGAAAATCCGCAGTAATGAAGCATTTGTTGCGAGATCATCTTATGTCCTAAATAACTCGTGTTTGAAGTACCACGCGTTATTAACACTATAACAACCGACGACGCCACTGTCATACGATTTTCAACAAAGAGATTAATCCATTAAGAGCCAACGTTGCGTTAACAAATTTCATTTAAATTCAATTTTTTTTTTTAAAATCGATTCACGTTATCGAATTCCGTTTTCTTTAACGCCGTGACTGCGAACATTTCCCTCCCACCAGGATTTTATAATTTTAAAGGAGTGTTGTGTTTGTAACGTTAGACGAACAAAATGGATGAAAAACTTGTTCGATCATAGAGTTCGTAGCTTATTCAAAGAAATTCCTAGTTGAAAGTTAGTAGTTGGTGGTTATAGTGTTATGTGTGACAGACCATCGTGTCCCAAGCGATTGGAAATTTGCAACGCTGCTGTTCGAAAAAGTTTCCTTTCTGCCGCCTCTCGAGAGTCGAGTATTAAAAGGAGAGGCTCGCGTAATCGATCGAAGGGTGGCGTGTCGCAGTGGCTACAAGTATCGTTTGTCGATGCGCGTTGCACGCGAAATCCCAGCTTTATCGTCGGAGGAATTCGTTTGAAGAATCGTTTTGTACCGAGTGTTGTACAACACTCGTGGCTTGACCTGCGGTTTATTGATTTTTTCTTTTTTTTTTTTTTTTAATCTCTCGAAGTTTCTCTAGTCAATGAGGATTGGTTTTGGTGATCCGTTGCATTCCCAGCTTATCTTAAAATGAACGTCGTTACGAAATTCACTCGTACATAAAAGGGTAATCGCTGGATACCGTGATGCGCGTTAAACACGAAGGAGCAGCGAGAAAGGATAGAGAGATTGAATAATTTTTGCGAGAAGTATCGTGTGGAAACGATAACGACGTTGTATCACGACCCTGCACGATAAGTGCGATACTTCCTCGTAGGCAACGTGTAAGCATAGTTATTTTTCAATGTAAAGCGACTGTGTAGCTCTATTTTAGGCAAATGTATATTTTAGGTACGAAAGAACGGCGCAGAGATGAGCGCAAGAGTGAAAACAGAAAGCTAGTCGTTAATTTCTTTCGTTTCCATCCCCGCTTATTCCCATCACGCTCGCTCGCAAATGACGTGAGCAAGAATTAATTGCATTCGGTTAATTACCGAGCGTCGAACTCGTTTGCAACTTCGCCGGTGTAAAATTTTGCCGGCGTCGAGGCGTCTCGGCAGCAAAAGAATTTCGCAAATTAAAAAAAAAAAAAAATGCAACGTCTTACTTACTCGAATTACAATCGGAGAAAGTTGTTGGATATTTTCGGTGAATGACATTTTCGTACAATGATTGATTTGAACGTCACGTGGAAGTAATCTCGCGAAAGTATTCGAGCATATATACGTTGCGTAATACGTTTATGGAATTTCATTAATGCTGCAACGAGTCGCAGAAGTCGGAAAATTACGAGGAACACGTAACGAAAAACGTATATTTGGTAAAAAATCAACGAAATGTTAAATACGATCCCGCTGAACGTTAACACTGATTGACAAAATTAATCGCGGCTGTTTAAATATTTTCCACGAGCCCTGTGAAATATGTACCCGCATTAAATATCTTGCAATTTCTGCGCGCACTGAAACATTCTTTTTTTTTTTTACACTTGACAAACGTGATCGCGACGCTCAGATTTCGCCACGGTATTAATGAAATGTTAAATTCGCGCTGCTTCGCGTGAAACATAAAGTTAATCAACTTTCTGTGATTATTCGCCAGCAGCTTTCGCATCACCGAGAATCCACTCTCACGTTGAACCACTCGAGCTTGTTTCACTCGAGCGTGTAAATTAATTTTACTATGAGTAGAAAGGTAATATCAACTATTCTAAAATTCGTCGTTCAACTCACGAAGCACGCGCTCTAACGATCGGTTCGATTGATGAAAAATATTTGGACACGGTTACACCCATCCCACGCGCGTATATTTTCGCCTCTGTTAACCGGTGGAAATTTCAAATTCGTTTCGAATTCACAAAATGACGAACGTTTCGTCGTAACTCCGCTTGTTTTTTCAATTACGTCGCGCGCGGCCCCGATAATTAAACGACGTGCAATTGTCGCGCAGAAGCGCACGCTCCGCGCGGGAATTTATGTCGAGGCGAACGAACGGATGATTAAGGGAAACAATGTAATTTCATTAACTCGCGAAGACAGTACACAGGCGGAGTACGACGTGCTCGACCCGATTAAAACGGGGATCGGATCTCCTGATTTCTTTCACGCGCGATCGCGGGATTTAAGTAAGTCGTGGCCTGCTTTCGTTTCGAGACGAGTTATTTCTGCCTGTAAAATATACACGCTACGCGCGCCTGTAAATCAATTACCACCGGGTTAATCACAAGCGCAATTAAAAGGGCGATTACAATATAAGAACCGTCCGACGTTCGATCCACTGTCGTTTAATTTAATTGCAGCTCCAACCTTCTCCCTTTTCCCCCTTTCTTTCCCTCCCTTTCTTTTCACCGTTCGTCCGCCTTTCACGTCGCGAACTTTTCGCGAACGACGTCGCGAAACCTCCATTAACAGCGATATTGTTATCGAGTTTCGCGCGTCGGTTAGTATTTCACTGTTTCGTACGTCAGGCTGCTCTCGCGTTTCCCGCTCCCTACATTTCGCTGTTCCGGGATTAATTAATCGTAATTACGTTCCCCGACGATTGATGAAAACTGCAACGATCTCCTTTCGGCCTCTTCATTTTATTGCCGATCGATTTTAACAGCCGCCACGTGGACGAATTCGAAATGATGACTGTGAGGAAAGGAATGGTGGCCGATCAAGTCCTGAAAGTCTTCGTACGGTACATTAAAATTTATTCAGCTTAATATTAATATATGTAACTTATTTATTTAATATATGTAACTTAATTTCAATAATATTAATAATATTATAACCTGATATTAATAACTTATTTATTTAATATATGTAACTTAATTTCAATAATATTAATAATATTATAACCTGATATTAATAACTTATTTATTTAATATATGTAACTTAATTTCAATAATATTAATAATATTATAACCTGATATTAATAACTTATTTATTTAATATATGTAACTTAATTTCAATAATATTAATAATATTATAACCTGATATTAATAACTTATTTATTTAATATATGTAACTTAATTTCAATAATGTTAATAATATTGTAACTTGATATTAATAATATTATAACTTAATTTTAATAATACTATAATTTATATTAATGATACGCTGCTCTGTTTCTATTAAAATTCTATAACGACGACGACGTTAAATAAATTTTTATGCGGTGTGCACAGACTTTTTAAACTGGCTAAATTATGGGGAAAATGAAGAGAAACATTTTTCTATGGGGTCCAACATGCTGCTGAAACCATCCACCATTCGAGAGTTAATCAAGAAGAACGTTGAAACGACTTGCAATTGAATGGAAGAACATTGTGTAATTTTTTCAACATATCTTCGAGTTTTTGTGGATTAATGTTATCTCTCTCTCTCTCTCTCTCTCTCTCTCTCTCTCGGAGAATTGAATCACGTCTACAGCATTTCAACGACAGACGTGCTCTTTTGCTCAACGAAGCGACAGGATAATGGGTCAATTTTGAATTCACTGAGCAGCCTGAATGAAGCTTAAACTTCGTTCAGCTCCCTCTCTCTCTCTCTCTCTCTCTCTCTCTCTCTCTCTCTGTCAATTCATCAGCCGCGACAGTCCAGATTATTTTCAGTTCTCGCGGTCTCCGACGAGTCCACATCGTTCGACCGACAGTCTCTTCAAAAAGATCCGAATGAAGAGAGAAACGATATCGTTCGCGACGAAACGAAAACAATTTCGGAAAGTTCGGTCTCGCTGTTTCTTGCGGGCGTTCGTACCACGTACTTTTCAGAAATGCACGATTGACGGAAAGATACGACACACGAATATTTCGTAATGTCTGGAAATCGAAAACGAAGGAAGTAAGAGAATACCTCCTCCAGCAAAACAGAACCACCATTCTGCAACACGTGCAACCAACAAATCACCACGCAACATCTGCTACGTGAATGCAGAAAATACCGAAACGTAAGAAGTAAATACGGATTAAACCAAAACACCGCTCTAACCTGCGAGAAACAATAAAATAACGTTATCAACTACCTAAAGGAGACCCAACTACTAGACTAGTTATAAGGAGATAGTTCCAGCACGTCGCTAAACACCTCGTAGTCGATGCGACTCTAAATCCCCATATAAAGAAAAAAAAGAAGAGAAAGTAAGAAGAAAAAAAAAAAAAAAATCGTCAGCAGCTGAAGAACTCGTCTACGCGGCCCCGAGCCTGTACGAACGAAAATAAAATTTTCGCCTTACGGAAAGTAATTTTCGGAGAGTTTCTCGCGGTTGAGCGATCCTCTGTGAGGTGCAAAATTTACCCCGCAATATGTCGCCAATTGCGACGAGCCAAATGAAAGAAAACGCAACGACTCCGAAAGAGTACGTCCTTCGAAAACTACCACCATCCCGAGCAACAGGACGTTACGACGCTCGTGGCGAGAACACACGACGAACAAAATCGACTTTGGAACATCCTTGACACCTCCATCGATCCAAACCCCTAACCTCTGTACACGAGTCCTATTTACAAAATTATCGGGGGAGATTCTCGTCGCCATTCGACGAACTTTCGCGCGTCGACTACCCCCGATTTGAAAGTTAAATTTCGAAGCGTCGGCGCGTATCACCCCTTTCTTTTCTTTTCTCTTTTTTTTTTCTTCACCAGCCAGTTTTCAAGGACGTGCACGTACATATGCATCGAACCAGACTCGCGTAACGCGAAGGCACAGGCGGAAGGAGGGTGGAAACACGATGGATATCCGAGACCATAACCCAGGTCGCGTTTATCGTGCGAGCAACAGCCTGGATTAAGGAGGAAAGGAAAGCGGCCCAAGGAGGGGTTGGAATTCGGCCTGGTTTACCCGGCACCCTCGTACCTCGTGCACCCCTGGCGATTTTACTGCCGGCACTAATCACTTCCCTTGCAAAACGATTTGCTGATTTATCGTTTAATTTCGCGACGATGGCCTCTCGATGCCGCACGCGCGCGCCCAGCCACGTCTCTACCACTACCACACGCGTAGAAACTTTCGAAATTCGAGATCCGCCGGTGCAAAAGGAGCGCGCACTCCGGTGAAAGATGGAGAAGCGGCGCGGAGGCAGAGAAAGTGGGGGGTGGTAGAGCGGAATTTTCGTTTTCGCCAGGATTAACGATCGAGGAACGGGTTCGTGTTCCAGGTGGGGAAAACGAAGTGGCTCGGTGGTCATTGTTCCGGCCGAGCCTGGATTTTATTATCACGTTTAAACCGCCGGGGCCCCGATTCGTTGCTACGTTTCCCGGCTGTAATGCGCAATTCGGTCTCGTATAACGCGTATCGTTACAGAAACACGAACGCCCCGCGGCCGATGCGAGCCGGTTTCCACGGTATCGATGATGCCCCCCCTCCCCCCTCCGGATGAAATTATCGGGCTAGCATTCGTAAAATTCAGCCGAAACGGTCCGCCGCTCACTCCATGTTCAAAGTATTATGTTTCGCGTTATACAAACAAAGACGAAAATAATCCAATTTCTCGCGCAACGTGGCGCGAGAAGCAGAGAACGAAGGAAACAACGCGCGGCCGTACGTTCGAAAACGATTCGGGATTCCATTTTGTTCTCTAAATCGCCACACTCGTCCGACAAATCAAGCGTCCAGTTATTACGGACAGCGCGGATTACACGATCGCGCGAAATGATTCATCGAGTTTGTTCGAGCGCGCATCACGGTGTCGCAGGAAAGTACGCGCGACTCGTCACTCGGAAACGATCCCGCGCAATAAGCCAAAACGTATCTGCCGTCGTATAAGCCGCGTATCAGCCGTACCCGAGCACTTGTCCGTTATTATCAAGCTTGTTGCACAAACGCGATAACGATAATGTCTCACGGTGGACGTTGGCTCGCAATTGCGACGGAATTCAGTAGGATTGTAATCGCCGCGCGTGTCTGATTACATCTA